AGAGAGAGAGAGAGACGGTCAGAGAAGCGTTACAAGGACCCTAAAGATAGGAGTAAGAAAGCAGAGCGTGCAAATACAAACCGGGTCATTGCTGCTTAGCTAATAGGGGCCAATTCGCTGCAGGAGAGAAATGTCGAACACCCCAAGTTGTGTACAATAAGATAACTGTCCTATAGACACAAACACTATACACTAACACATAAATTCTAAAGCTACATAGAAACACACTCACTCAAACACAAATGTAGCCATTCACACCATCTAATGTGCACTCTCTTGTTTGCTAAATGGAGTGGAATAAGCACTGCCCACTTTTCATTAACAAACTATTTTGAGCCACTGCCAAATAATCAGATATATAATTGTAAAATGTACGTAATTAGGCTGTTTTTAAATCCAAATCTGTCCTGCAATGTGTTTTTATCCAGTTTCTTCTTGTTTAAGATGGTGTGATTTAAAAAAAGGAGTGGTTTAATAGCGAAATCACCATAACCATCATTCTACAAATCTAATAAAACTGCAGGGCTCTGTATAGCAACCTGACTCGAGGCAAATATATCCAGTGTCCAGAATAAAATCTAGTTGGTACCAAATATGGAATTTCTTCTAAATGAGTTTAAAATGGATGAACAGCTAGCGTATTTAGAAAACAGCCATTAATTAACAGTGCTTTATCCACCCCATAATGTCAGAGTCATCTCATCTCTTAGTGCTAAGATGACTAACAGTGACTAATGGGAGGCTGATACAAAAATCAAACGTTTATCTGTAAGCTCTACATAAAACAGGAAGATCTAGCATATACATTATCATTTTAAATGTCACACAGGAAATGGAGTAGGCAGAGGACATGGGAAGTGGGAGGGGCTTAAAGGGTATTAATGGACATGAGACAAGTGATTCTACAGGTTAGGTGGCAAGTGTGTTCAAGAAAACACTGAATGCATCTACATGGACAGAATGAATGGAGTAAAAAGGTGTGGTTTTTATTCCTCCCTGGACCAATCATCCACTCTCACAGCTGGTCCAATGGTGCGGGATGATAGATGCAGTCTTACCGATTCGATGGGCTTGTCCAGGGACGCCTGCTCCAGCTCCAACTGGCCCTCTTCATACTGGTCAAAGTGATTCCCACCCTGTGTGACACACATTTAAAGGCCTATTTTAAACAAGAACAATTTAATCCTGCTTCAATGGTGGTAAAGTTCAATGAATTAATCTGTCGACTGACAGAAAAATAATCAGCAATTATTCTCAAAAGCAATCAACTGTGAGGATTTGCTGGTTCTATATAGAGCCTTTCAAATGATTAATTAATAAAAAAATAACCAGAAGATTAATATATAATCAAGATAATTATTAGTCACAGCCCTAAAAATAGCAACAGACAATAATCACAGCAAGCGTTTGAGGAATAATCCATCATTAAAACTAGTTTAAACCACCAAAATCAGAGTTTATTTTCATCTGCGTGTTCAAAACAACGAGACAGCACTGTGTAAGGAGGCATGCCTACTGCCTGTCATTTTCACTGAATAATAGTCATTCACACTGAATAATAGTCAATCACATTAACTGAATAATAGGACTTGAAAACACTGTAGTGGTTATATTATGCACAGCACCAGATAGTATGTTCATCAAGAGCCAAACTCAGGTCAGTAACTCAACCAGTGCTGGGTTGATTAAGCTTTATAAAAACTGTCTACAAGAGATGAAATATATTTATTTTTGTTGACAAGTACATCCATGAACTACATATGTGTTTTATCATGCCATATCCTGGCCAAAAAACATACGCTTTCTTGATAGTATTTCATTTTCAAAATGAAAGCAAAACACACAATATACTATTTACTGTATTTAAAGAAATATTTATAGACTATACAGTATATTTATAAGATATTATCTGCGTAAAGTGCAGCATAGGTGCTAAGCTCCACACACCAGAGGAAGAAAGCAGAGACAGCAGGTATATGCTACGACTGGAAACATGTCACTGTGTTAGTCTCTTTGTTGCCTGTTCTCCCCTCATAATCCATCCCATTTTTATTTTAAACTAGAAGTGCTTTCAATTTGAAGATTAGATTATAACTTGCATCTGAGCTAGCAAGTTCTTAAGTTTATTCAGCCATGACGTAAAATGTACTTGAGTTGATTTGTCTCTTTATTTGTTGGTAAATTTATTCCAGCAGTGACAGCAGTGAAGGAAGACTTCCTCCTCAGGCTATTTGTTGTTCCGAGTTTAAAGAATTGCTCGACTTATACAAATTGAGCATTTATGTTTAAGCCTGTGCCCCAGTTGGGACAGAGAGTGAGTAATGGGCTGGCTACCCCGACCAAAAGGAGTTTGTTTATAGAGCAGTTTCTGCCCTGAGACAGATGGCTTCCTCTCTTTAGCAGCAGAGGAGAGAAGGTCATGTTTGTGAGTCTGTTTTCTCCTGACCTTCACACAAGCATAAAACTGGAAGATTCCAAAAATAGTCAATGGTATTATATTATTTACTAGTTGCTTGCTGCTACTAGCAATAGGACATGTGTAGATAACTAAATCTAAACCTGTAAATACACACCACACATATTATATATATATATATATATATAATATATATATCTCATATTGAGGTTTTATTTATCTTTTTCATGTCTATTTGAGGGTGAACTGACTGCAGCATATTTACTATTGCCTTTCTATTGAGGACTTCTTACACTGGAAGATTACTAAAAACCTCTCCAGTCTACACTACAGAACTGCAAGACATTGCTGTAAATGACAATGCCACATGGGCTGGGCCATGCAGAGGCTTTAACCCCCACGTTCTCTAGGGGAATCTGGTATTTGCAGAGATAGAGCAACTGCTCAAATCAGCCCACAATAATGAGGTGATCTGATGCCACACTGGAGCACATTAATTTAATGAACAGGACCCTCATCAGCATGGTGAGCTGGGGATTATGAGAACGGAGATGCAGAGAAGAGCAAAGGACCGTATTTATGAGCAATCGATTGCCCCCCCGTCCCTCCCTCCCTCCCTCCTCCACCTGACTTTCTGCTTAGACCACTTAATGTGCAATCAGCACTTCACCTATCCACCACAATGACTTCTTATTTTCACTGCTGCTTGCTTCCTCATCAGCCTGACAAACAAACAACACAACAATGCAGCATAGCAATGATCCTCGCTTTGTCCCCTTGTGTACATTACAGGAGTACATTTCCATTTGTTATACAACAGTGAAATGAATGCTCCGTACCACCCCACATTAACAAATTAGAGAACTACCACCAGCCAGATCAGTGGATGCTAATAAATCGCCCGGTGTTTCTGCAGCTCCAGATTAGCCGCATGCTAAAGCTCTAACAACAGTGTAAATCAATAGAGCGGACAGAGCTGTTGGACTGGTTGTGCTGTAGATATTAGGTAGACCATCTGTGGGTGTTTTCTGCGCCGTGTTGCTTGGCAGCAGGCTTTAATCCATAAGAGTCAGAGAGAAACTTTCTGAATACTGAGCATATGAATGCATTCACAGCAGATCTCACACACAGAGCCCCACTGTGCTCAGCCAGAGCGGCCCTCAACAGACTCATTCAGACCCCACAGCAATTCACCTCTCACTGACAAAATAGCAGAACACTGAGTTCCCACTAGGACACCAACAAGTGTGTATGGAGGAAAAAAACAAGCAATTTCACAAACTGTCTCTCATACACAGGCTTAAGCTCGTGATTGGTTTCATGGCATGTGTGCTAATTCGCCTGTTTTACCCTATTATTACAGCAGCTTTAATGGGGCATAAATAACAGAACAAAATGCTGTCAGCAAAATGCAAGGTGGAGTGGGTGAGTTGGTTCTGTTCATATTATTCATCTAAGCTCTTTTTTCTGACCCTGAACATCATTGTTGATACAGCAACTCTTCTCTTCATTCACAATCACTGGAAAACAAGCACAAGATGTCACACAGATGAGAAAAAGCGGCAATGTTTTTCAGATGGGAACCAATTATGGTCAGAAAACCAACTAGAAATACATTCATTTTAATGTGTATGCTTATACAATAACATTTTCTACTTGGACAATGTGATGTGTGAAAAGATAGCTCCAGTAATAGTCAAATAATTAGGCACAACAACCCCCATGTAATCCCAAAACTCCTCACTGAAGTTTAATGCTGGTTTTATTTGATAAAAAACACTTAAATTAGTGTAAAACACAGTAGTGACATTAAGCAAGGAAGGACTTTGACACACAAACTTGGATCTGAGACAACATGTGCAGCAGAATGACGCCTGGTTACACAGTTGATGTTTCACTTGTACTTCCAGTTAATAGTAGATGAGGTAATACAAATGGTGTCAAAGAATTAAAAACCTGCTGGTTGTTTTAAAAAATAAGGATAAATACAAATATGACTTGGTAAAGCAGGGCGATAGTTATGTCATCTAAGGGATTCGACAAGAAATAGCAGTCATCAATGACAAAAAAAACCTACAAATATGGATTAGATATACTTTGTAGTCTAGTGAGTAATGTTGTGTTTGGCTTTTACTGGGTGCGGTCTTAGATCACAGATAGGCAAGTAAAAGACAAACAGCTCAACAAGAAACAATGTCATGTCCCAAAAATAATGTTATTAATGTGCAATCGAGTGGGATTTATGAGCATAATAATCGATTACATTACACAACTGCAGCAAAATAACAATCCCATACTGCAGTGTGTTCGGACTACTTTGTTTTCCATTGATAAAAAAAAAAAAGGATTAAAATCGCATTATAGAAACAAACAAAATCGAGGTGAAGTAAATAAAGTCAACAACAAAAAAAAAACAACAATAAAACGGTGTTACCTTTACAAAAGGAACACACAAGTGACAGTTTTATTAGCAGAAAATCAGCAAATGGAGATGCCAAGGACATGTTGTTAATCTTAAAAAAATATATATCGATAACCAAATCGCCTT